GCGGGGAGCGGGTGGCTGGAGATGGCCACACTCTGTGATCTGCAGCAGCTTGAGTTCTTTTCAGAGTACTCTCTACTCAGGGGAAGCTGGGATTCTTCCCTGTGGAAAAGAATTTCGGGACCAGCAAGTCTGAAAGAGTTGAGTCAACTAGAAAGAGAGTTGAACCCAGACTGACACGTGGGGTTGATGTGAAGGAGGGTGCTCAGGGAAAGAACAAGACACACCCCAAAGCAGGCATGGGCTTCTTAGGAGAGATTCGCACTCCTGTGTACAGTGTCTAGGATATTGGGGGCCTCTCAAGTCGCATCTCAAATAGTTGCTAAGAATGTTTTCACGGGTTTGGGGATTTAGCTCCGTGGTAGAGTGTTTGCCTAGCAAGAGCAAGGCCCTGGGTTTGGTCCTCAGCTCAGGGGAAAAAAAGGAATATTCCACACCCTTGGAAGAGTGCTTGCCTAACATGCATGAAGCCCTGGGTTCAAGCTCCAGCACCACACAAACTGGGTGTGATGGTGCATGGAGTACACTGGTGATGCCAGCCCCTGGGAGGTTGAGATGGGTAGGAGAATCAGAAGTTCAAGGTCATCCTTAGCTACATGAGCAATTCCAGGTCAGTCCAGGCTATATGAGATACTGCCCAACAAAAACATAAGGCCTAGAGTCTTCCTCCTCAAAGGAGGAAGTATGTCCTCTCACTGAGGGCAGGGATTTAAGTTAGGTAGTGATGGGATACCAAGGAGGTCCTGCACACACTTTCCATATCATTCTGTCAGGTCTATACTTTCAGGGCCTTTATTGTCCACTGAGAGCAGTTTTTTTTGACTCTTTAATTCTCCTTTGATAAACATACAAATCTCTTGCCTCCCTAGAGGGACATTACCAGGTTCAAAGTAATGTAAGCATCATGGCTAGACACAAAACAATGGTAATTTTCTAGGAACAGCTATATGTAGGCCTTTAGAAAGCACAATTTTCACTTCCTTGCTGTTGCATTTTCAAAGCTAAGCCTGCCACCTTGGCTCACACAGAAGTGCAGACTCTTCCAGTAGCAAACATTGAGCACTGGAAATGGCATAATGGCATCCAACTGTGCGTGTGCTTCATCCCTGATGTGCTTTTCCCGAATATCTTCTACAACTGCCTCAAAGCTCTGTCAAGCAAGCCTTTCTTGTGGCTTTGTTCTGGCAATGGCTGAGTGTGTGGAAGAAAGAGATTTGCCCAGGAATTTCACTGCAGAAATTCGGGTTGACTTCTGACACAAGGAAAAGGTGTAACTGGTTTTGCCTTGCAGCCAGGCTGGATGAAGTTGGAATTTCCTTTTCTTGGTCACAAAAAAGCCAATTCTTCTCCTTTAGAGAGTCATCAAGATGTGGAAATGAAAAGAAATTATGTCACTGTGATTGGCTTAATAAAGAAGATAACTGGCCTATAGCTAGGTAGGGCAAGGTTAGGCAGGAAAACCAGACTAAGCGAGTTTGAGGACAAAGAAAGGATGGAGTCAGGGAGTCACAAGAGTCTTGAGCCAGACACAGAAGAAGCAACACAGGAAGTTCTTAGATGAGGTAAATGAGCCTCAGAGCAGCACATTGATGAATAGAAATGGGTTAAGTTATAATAGCTAGTTAAAAACAAATCTAAACTATCAGCTGAGCATTCATAATTAGTAATAAGCCTCTGTGTAGTTATTTGGCAATCAGCTGGCAGGAAAGGGTTCTTAGACCTTGGGTTTTGAGTCTAGGCAGGTTTTCTTGTGTCTACACCGCCCTTATGATTCTTGATTACTTCCCACAGCTTCTGTAGATTGCCTCCTTTTGCAAAAATAAGGCCATGCTAATGACTACAAAGAAATAATACAAAGACAAACTGATGCACACAATATGATGTGATTTGGGATCTATCTGACTCTATGCTGACTGTGGAAGTAGATGGTTTCAGTGTTCAGCTTTGAGACAAATACTCCACTCTTTTTGTCATTCAGAATTCAACTCTTTGTGGAAGTCACCTTTGGCTCGTCTACCTGATAACCCTTGCTAGTCTTTTCCTTTATTTCTAACATGGAAGGCAGAGATCTGTAGATGTTCCTGGCTTCTCTTGCAGCTAGATAGCCACATAATGTAATTCTCATCAATATATTTGCTAAAATTTGGACTTGCTCTGTCCCCAAAGGGCCTATGGGATTGGCTCCCAATTTGGCAATAATATAAAGTGGTAGAAACTTTTCGGTGTTGGGGCTCAGTGGGAGATCTTAGGTCATTAGTAGCCACACCCTTGAAGAGTAGGGACAATACAGCTCCTTCCTCTCTTTTTGCTTCCTAATCACCTGAGGTGAGCAGCTCTGAACTGCTGTCTACTGTTTCCTGCTACAATATACTATTGTACCACAGACCTCAAAGCAAAGGCATCACTTGATCATGAGCTAATACCTCCAAAGCTATGAGTCTAAATAAATCTTTCCTCTAATTAAGTTGATTTACCTCGGGTATTTGTTACAGTAACAGAAAGCTGGCTTACAGAGTTATAAAGATCTGCTTTTCTGTGGACATGAGTACTGTGACAGACAGCATCACTGCCTCTTTCCTTGAAATGTGCAGGAACTGGAGCAGCCATTTGCAATCATGCTTAGCCCAACGCTAAGCAAGAAGTAGTAAAATAGGGAGGTAGTTATTTGTCAGTTCTGTGGGGCTGTTGAACCACATATGGTCTTGCTACCACCAGACATGTGACTAAATGTCTTGATTGCTTGAGATACTGTTAGAGGGTATCGGTGACTGCCACTAGAGATTTTGTAGCCACCACTTCAGGTAGGAGTAGAGCTGGGAAAACTATTTGTAGTTGTTACCTTCTCATTGCTCTGACAAAATACTCCACTAAATAAAACATACCCCACCCCACCCCCCAAAAAAACCTTCAAGGATTTATTTTGGCTCACAGTTTGAGGCGAATGACAATGCTATACAGACCACCTTTTGGCTAATGCAGGAGGAGTTATTATTGGCACATAGTCAAATCTTCATCATTCAAAACTTATTTTTGGGTTTCCCTATTTGCAAAAAATTGTAATCCATAAACCAATACTCAGGGTTTTTGTTTGGTCATTCATGATATGCACAATAACAAAACAATTTGATCTACCCAACATATACATTCTTAGATGATGTGGGACAGTGTGACTTACTTGGCATTATTTCAGATCTGGCACTAACAAATGTTCTTATAGCCAATGTCATGTTCTTGCATTTTTTTGTGCTTGTTGACTTCACAATTTACAAAAGTACCCAAGGGAAGTGCTGAAGTGTTGGCTAATATTCTTACATGCAAGGAGGCCAAGAGGTCATTTGCCTTTAGCTGGGAGAACTTCCTTGAGTATTTCTTCTCAAGGCAGGTCTGCCAGTATCAAAGTTATCAGTTTCTGTTTTGCTTGAAAAGCCTTTGTATTCCTTTTATTTTGAACAGTTTTGTTGGGTAGGAGATTGTTGGTTGATAGTTATTTTTTATTTAATAGTTCAGACAATGTCTCATTCTGTAGTCAAGGCTGGCCGGGAATTCACCATGTAGCTTAGGTTGGTCTAAAAATTGACAACAGTCTTGCCCAGCTTCCTGGATGCTGAGATTAGAGTTGTGAGCCATCATACCTGACTCTTTTTTTTTTTTTTTAAACATTTTATTTTTCTTGTTTTAGTTTTTGGTTTTTAAAACAGGGTTTCCTGTGTGGCACTGGCTGTCCTAGTACTAGCTCTGTAGACCAGGCTGGCATTGAACTCACAAAGATTCGCCTGCCTCTGCCTAACTGCTCAGCTATTTTGTTGCTTTTAATCTTACTTTTCCGGGTGTGGGTGACTTAAACGCATCTGTTGTACCATGAGTGTACCTGGTATCCATGGAGGCCAGAAGAATCTGATCCTCTGAAACTGGAGTTAAAGACGGTGTGAGTTGACGTGTGGGTGAGTAGGATTTAAACTCAGTGCTTCTTTAAACACTGAGTCGCCGGGCGGTGGTGGTGCATGCCTTTAATCCCAGCACTCGGGAGGCAGACGCAGGCAGATCTCTGTGAGTTCGAGGCCAGCCTGGGCTACCAAGTGAGTTCCAGGAAAGGCGCATAACTACACAGAGAAACCCTGTCTCGAAAACCAAAAAAAAAAAAAAAAAAACGAGTCATCCCTCCAGCCCCATACCTGGCTTCTTTTACACTTTCAATGTTACCCCACTACTTTCTGGCCTCTACTGCTTTTGCTAAGTCAGATTATTATGCGTCCCTTATAAGCAATGTTTCCGCCCACCTCACCCCCGGCTGCTTAAAGATGTTCCCCTATGATGTAGAAGCTTTCTACATCCAAGGTTCTCTTCATTTTTTGTTTTGTCTGTTCAATTTATCTAATCTCTATTATTTTTTGCCAGTTCAAATACTGTTGGACACCTCTAGTGAGCTTTCTGTTTCCAATGTTTTTGAACTCTTTAAGTTATATGGTTCCCTGAAATAATTTTCTGAGGGTGTATTCAGTATAACAACAGATATTTACTTCCTTAACCATGCATAATTTCATTCTTTGAACATGTACACTGGCTACTGGAAAATATTTTCCCAATAAATCTGACATCTGACATCTAGCCTCTCCAATACACAATCTTTCTTTAAAACATGTTTTTAGTAGTAGTAGTAGTTATGTATATGCATGTGAGTGTAGGTTTGTACATGAATACAGTGCCTGTGGAGGCCAGAAGGCTGCATTGGATCTCCATGAGCTGAAGTACAGGCAATTGTGAGCTGACTACTGAACTTGGGTGGTCTACAGAAGTAGTAGATACTCTTAAATGCTAAGACCTTTCTTTCTCTAGACCCCCCAACACACAATGCTTTGTTTCCCTTCCTGTATGGGTAATACTTTCATGTTTCTCTACATGGGCAGCCATTTTGGTTAAAAACTGTTCATCTCAGAAAACATTGTAATGATCTTGGTTACTAGTCCCATTCTCTAGAACTTGTTTTCTTATTATTCATTTAACAAATGAAGTTCCTCTCCAGCTTGGGGTTCAGTTCCAGCGACCTGGCTAAATGCACCAGGAAGGTTGGGATCATTGGGAAATACGGGACCCGCTATGGTGCCTCCCTCCAGAAAATGGTAAAGAAAATTGAAATCAGCCAGCATGCCAAGTACACCTGCTCATTCTGTGGCAAGACCAAGATGAAGAGACAAGCCGCTGGCATCTGGCTCTGTGGTTCCTGCATGAAAACAGTGGCCAGTGGGGCCTGAACCGACAACCGACTTCTGCCGTCACAGTGAAGTCCGCCATCAGAAGACTGAAGGAACTGAAAGACCAGAAGCATACTGTTTAAGACCTGCCTGTGCTCTAATAAATGGGTTAATTTACATAAAAATAAAGAAATGAAGTTCATTTCCCCTGTACCAAGTTCAGCCTCTGTTGGCCTTTGGACACAGTGTATTAGGAATCAGTGGTTTTGATAAGGCTTACTTCCTCTCTTCCCTGGCCAGTCAGCTGCTAAGTCATGCTGCAGTCAGATGACTGCTTTATAGTTTTCAACTATGCTCTGGGGGCATAAATTGCACCACAGTTTGTCCAATCCAGTTTTGGCATCTTCAACTGAATAGATTGTTCACAGAGTTCTTGTCTAACTAACTGTTGTCCAGTGAACATTAGACAAGTCAATGCCTGAGAGCTGACTGCAGCCCAAAAGGCAATTCCTTCTTATGGAGATTCAGAATGATTTTCATGGCCTGGCTTTTGTTTTATTTAGCTTTTGTTTTTTGTTTTTCCCAAAGCATACTCTGAGCCGACACACTGGAGCTGGGACAGGCAACTGTAGCATGTTTTAGTCTAGGCCCCTGGTCGGTGGGCAAGGTTGTCCTCAAATGCATTAAGAGGACTTTGTTTAGAGCTATCACGATAGTAATCACTTAAGACTCAAATTAGCAGGGATGAAACCAAACTTATAAGAGCAGCAATGGAAATGTATAAGTTGCCATTTAGATGTGGGGAGGTTGCAAGATGGAAAATTACTAAAAGTAGACATCAAGGGAAAAAGAAATTGTTGAGAACAAGGTCATACCAACAGTGGGGAATGAGGAATTTAATAAAATATTGAGCATTTCCATTAATATGAGATTCTAATTAATTGATTCCTAAGACTGAAATCCAAGGATGCCTATCTAAAAAATAGCTCAGGCTGGTCAAGGCTCATACCTGAATCTCAGCACCAGGGAGGCAGGTGGAAACCTGTACATCCCAGGCCTTCCTGGGTTACATAGGATAGCCATAGCTTTTGGTTGATGTTGGGGCGTGGGAGGGAAGGCGGTGGGGGAAAGGAAAGCAGAAGAGGAAAGGAAATCATTCAGAGGAGGCTGGCTCAACTAGTCTAAGACTCTGTAGTTGGGAACAGCTGGGATCTTTCTGGGTTGCCTTAATTAATGTAAACATTAATTCATGTAAAATTAACAACACAAGTTAATATAGAAGTGAGTAGAACCCCAGAGAAACCATACCCCAAGAAACTCCATTTTATGAGCAAGGTCTAGGCCAAACAATGCTTCTACCTCCACCATGCTTGGGATGTAACTTCAGCAACAGAAAGATGCAGGAGTCTGAAAAAGTGTTGGTTTGCTGATTGCCCTTAAGACCATTTCCAGAAATTCTGTGGCTTTTGTTTTTGTTTGGTAAGGAATTTAACACATGCCTGGTTTTGATGCCTTCAGGCTTGAACAAAGCCTGAGCACAGCCATCCATGATTTTGTTTGGACCCATTTCCCCAAATCCTTACTTCATCATCCATCTGTCCATCCAATTGGTTCTGTCTCTTGCGAGAATCACGTTCCAGTTGCAGCCCAAAGTAATTAGAGATAGGGCCTTTAAAAAGTTAACAATATAAATAAGGCTATATGAATGAGCCTCAAATCAGTGTCCTTGGAAGAGGATAACAGAACACAAACATATAGAGTGTATACTCTTTAAAAAAAAATACTTGTACTTTCTTATTATTTACCAATTTCCCCAAGAGAATGCATTTTTATTACTTTTATTTCATATGCATTGGTGTTTTGCCTACATGTATGTCTGTATGAGGATGTTGGGTCCCCAGGAACTAGTTACAGACATGTATGAGTTGCCATTGAACCTGGGTCCTCTGGAAGAGAAGCCAGTGCTCTTAACCACTGAACCATCTCTACAGCCCAAGAGTAGGTACAATGGTAGGCTAAGGTACAGTCTATTTCCTTCTCTGAGTGCCCATTCAGCTGTCTGCATTTCACTGACGAGCACAACTTATCAGGTATCAGTCTAGTCTTATTGGCCATACTTTCTTTGGCTTCAGAGGCAGTGGATGGTGGCTGCCAAGAGAAAGAAGGGGAGAATGCCACTAGCTCTTAAACACACAAAACAAGTAATCAAATATCTACTCAATAAATATCCACTACATACAGGTCTTCTGCATGAGGCTCTGCTCCTCCTAAGGGGAAAGAAATGTGGGGTATATAAAACACTGACTATGAATTGCATTAACTGAGTGACAGAAACAAAGCTTAATTATACAAGTCTTTGCCATCATAGACATTGGAAATTTTCTAGAGAAACACAAGTTTGCTTCTTTAAGGGAAAAGTTTTGGAGTATGACAGGAACCAAAATAATTTAAAAAAAAAAAATCCTCCAGGAATTTTGTTTTGCTACTGGGACTGTATCTCTGAATATTAAATACATGGTACCAAGAAAATTCCCTTATGCAGAATCAATCCAATTAATACACATAAGCAAGTCAACTAGAACTTTGCAAGCTGGGGATGTAATTCAGCAGTAAAGCACTCACCTAATGTGAAAGGTCATGCATGAGTTTAATCCTCAGTGCCAGTTTTACCATTTTGTAGTCCCTAAAAATTAATGAAGCTAGGAAATGATTATCAATGGTTACTGCTATCACAAGGCAGGACACACTGTCATCTGTGAGGTCTTCTTGTCCCCCTCTGCTGTGGGATGTCTTTCTGTATGCTGTGAACATGTGTTGCTCTGATTGGTTGATAAAGCTGCATTGGCCTATGGCAAGGCAATTTAGAGGTGGAAAATCCACGCAGAGAGGGAAGAAGATGCCAGCCTGCTGCCCAAGGAGCAACATGACAACAGACCGGTAACACCATGGCCATATAGCAATACATAGTTTAATAAAAATGGGTTAAGATAAAAGAGCTAACTAGCCAAAAGCTAAAACCATAGGCCATACAATTTGTAATTAATATAAGCCACTGTGTAATTATTTTATAAGCAGCTACAGGACCACGGATGAGAGAGATTTGTCCAGACTGCGGGCCTGGAGGGACCGAGAAACTTCCACCTACACCCCCCAAAGGAGAAAGGTAAGGAAGGAGAGAAACAGAGTCTGCGTGACTGACCAATTTTAACTGGGAAATTAAGTTAAGTAAAATCTAGGCAGTCAGTGAACACTTTCTACAAGAGCTCAATTTAACAAACAAAATGCAAAGAAAATAATGAAAAGAAAAGCTTAATATTGACAACTGCACTTCAATATGGACTTAATTAAATTGTTTAAAAATAATCCTGGGGGCAGGCAAAAAAAGGTAAAGAAATGAAACGGTACTGGCCAGCAGGTATAGTTAGTGATCAGGGCGGAGAGACTGGGTTTGTATTTCAGCAGTCAGGAACTTGCCTAGCAAACATGTTGGCCTTGGTTCATACCTCAGCATACCAGAATAAATAAACACAACTAAAAGAAGCTGGGGGGGGGGGTAAAGTTAAGCAGTAGAATACCTGCTTCGGATGCATAAGGCCCTACATCAATTACCAGTACAGCTCAGTAACCGCAGTTAGATACTGGGTATACGGGGGTTTTATCACATTATATGTGAATGTGTTTAAGTATCTAAGTGACAAGTCGCATTAAACCTCTTACTATAGTCTCTTGGGATGCCAGAGTTAGGTAGTCTCCCTGGCTTCTCTAGATAGAAATACATTTGGTTAGAGATCAACAGCCCACCAAATCAGGCTTACGGTTGAAAGTGCAAAGCTAATACGCATAGAAATATACCACTTCTGAATCCAGCTGTGTATGAAACAATTCAGAAGATAAATTTTACTTGAAACCAAGGTTCTTTTGTTAGAGAAACTCAATATACGCACATATGGGAGTTTCATAGTAAACTTAGTCCATGGCCTTTTGAGTTCTTCCTAAGAGGGTCTTAATGGATAGGGTACCCTATTGATTTAAGTAACATACAGACTGCATTATAGCTTTTAGCTTGATATAGGAATGTCTTAAAATCCCACTAAAGGGTAACACAGAAACACATGAATCCTAAGGGTAAAAAGATGTATTTGTCAGAAAGTAAACATTCCTGGTCAACTGCTACAGAGACAAAGATACAAACCACTAATTAACCAGACACCAGAGACCTCCTCCTCATATACTTTTACCTTCTTCACCAAGAAATTCCAAGGTCCCATTTCTGAACCTGATGCAAACACATACTCAAGTTCTGTCATTTGTGTATGGCTTCTTCTGACTGACTGGCATCCATCCTATGTGTGAGACTCTCCCATGTAGTACACAGTATTCATTTGTAGCACAGTACCGTTCCATATGTAAATATTCTATCATCCCTTTACCTCCATAAAGTGTACTTCTGCCAACATTCAGATACTCCACATCAGCTTTCTTTTGGTTAAAGACAATCCCTCTAAACAGATTAGAACTTGACATTTGTATTCTCCCAAGATCAAGAACTCTGCAAATTCCATAACCTCAGGCAAAGGTACAAGTGCTGACTTGACCTCACAGGGGGCAATTTCTTCCGAAAAGAACTATTAACACATCTTCACAGAACTTTAGTCATTCTTTTCCTGGCTAATTATTTCTTTAGACTAGTAGAGTTGGGAATTCCACTAACCTTAGTTTAATCAAATCAAAACAAAACAAAACAAAACAAAAGGGCAAATTCCCATTGGTTTACAGACAATAGAAAAAAAAAAGCCCAATATAGGAATGTCCTGCAAAACAAACACAAAACAGCTGTCCTCTGTTTAGCCATATCTAACCAAGGTACCCCCATCCAATTACCAGATTAAGATAATTAACTTAGATTAACTGCAGATTAAGAATGAGACCCAGAGGGACGATGGTGGCGCACACCTTTAATCCCAGCATTTGGGAGGCAGAGCCAGGAGGATCTCTGTGAGTTCGAGGCCAGCCTGGGCTACAGAGTGAGATCCAGGAAAGGTGCAAAGCTACACAGAGAGAAACCCTGTCTCGAAAAACCAAAAAAAAAAAAAAAAAAAAAAAAAAAAAAGAACGAGACCCAGCTTGACTGTGTCCTGTTACT